TATTCAGTTTGTGATTGAGCATGCTGAGGATCACAGTAGGATTATTTGCTGCTGTCTTAAGTATTACCTTCTGAAGTGGGTTTCGCCATCCATTTGTGAGAGCCACTTAATTATCAAGGGAATCGATCAAGGTCATAAGTGCTGGACAAAACACAGAGAGACAAGAGATGTGAGTAATAATAGTTGAGGGCATAGTGAAAGCTGTTGATCATCTAATTTTGACACAAGTACATATGAAGCTGAACTTGACGGTTTTAATTTCAGAACCGTCAAATATTATTCCAGATATTTTATGGTTAATAACTATCAAATATTATTTATCCAAATATATGACGCAACCATACTTGACGGTTTTTAATTGTCAAATATGCACAAAAATAACCTTAAATTATTATGCTTTTTGCAGTAGTGAAATATCAATCTTGCTGATAGAATTGTTTGGATTCCATGATCGTCCTCAAATCTACTCTCGGTTATTAGTGTTAAAAGATTCTTTACTTTGAAATCCTACAAGTTATCATTAGTGACATGCCATCTAATGCCATTTTACCGGTAACTCCTTTTAAAGGGAACAATATAAACCCTTTCTGTACCACGTTTGTTTTTCACAACTTAATTCCATAATTGCCTCTGATATGTTTCTAACATCTGCATGTTCTGAATTATTCTTTTTAGCTGTTTCTTGATTTTCAATGTTCTCTCTAAATATATGCAGTGTCGTCATAATGGAAGTGATCCCCATCCAAAAGCAACTAAAGATCGGATGTCATTTCAAAGTTTTAATCTACGAATTGCTGTGAGTATTAAGATCAAGAATTTAAATGTTTCGTACTTTCTTATGGAAAATTCTTGCCTATATAGGGACTCAATGAAGAAGATGCAAGGCTCCATCAGCCAGCAGCTCAAACATCAAGTTCTAGGAATCGAAGTGGAAATATTTCTACTAGGTGGTTACTTGTTTCCCAGTGTTTAATTTTGTTGGTGTGGTCTGCCTCCCAACCCCATCTCTTTAAAAAAAAAAAAAAAGATTTGATGATTCTCCATCAATAGTTGTAATTTTGATCCAAAATCCAGATAGACATCACATCTCTGGATTTAAGCCTTGTTAGCTAGCACATTATTTTACATTTGGATTCAGAGAAAATGGACTTCCAGTAGGTGGTTCAAACTGTGGGAACACTAGCAAAGAGATTAATGGCAACCTCAAAAGGAAACAGTCTGAAGAAATGTTTGAAGCACAAAATCCAATTAAATTGCCCAAGAATGATAATGGCGATGATCAGTCATTGCCAAGAAATAGTTTGGGGTCTTTCAGAAAAGTAAAGGGAGATAAGTTAGACTGGAATGTACTCAGACCACCCAAATGCTAAAGCAGAATAGGATGAGGATACTGATGGTTAAGTTAGCGTAAACATGCCAGGTTGAGTTCTCCTTTGTTCCTCGATATTGGGCTTTGTATCTCCAATATTAATTCCACTCTCTGTGATTTTATCAAGTACCTATAATGACTATTTTTTACGTCATGTAATGAAATGAGTTCAGGACTCATCACTCATCAGTCATCACATATAGATAAGGTACTTCTACATTATAGAGCAAGTCTATCTTTTCCCTTAATCATTACTTCTTATTCTATCAAATGCAAATCAAAGTATACAATCAAATACCTAATTGCAAGGTGGTTTAATTTCCAACTCCCTATCATTCCTCGAATGCTGAGGATTCAAGCGGGGCAAGCCTTGTGAAAGAGTCTCTGCTTTGGACAACACTTCGGATTCTAATGATTTCGTAATTAAAAACACAACTTATGACAGTAAACCGGAGCGGAGCAGGCGTAGAGTTAATGAAGATATTGAAGGTATGTAGTATAAGAAATGTGTGAGTGCTTAACTTCAATTGTAAATGATTGGTGATGTTAGTACTAACAGCACCATAATCGGATCTGGATCCTGTGTCCCTACGCGTCAAAATAGAATTCCTTCGATCTCATCAATGGCCTATAAATACGAACCGACTTCATGAAATTAAACCATGATAAGATGCAATCCTCATTTCATTCGAGTCCTTGAACAAGGCCGCCAGATTCATCCATAATCCTCATTCCTCTGCGGGTTTCAATGTGGTTCATCGATTTCTGCAACTCAATGAACGGTTTGAGTTTCTGAGTAACTGGAATTCTTCCTCTTCGCTCCGATTTTTGCATCTTCTCGACTTCTTCCTCTGCCTGAGGTGCGCTCTTTAATTGGAATCGAGTTGTGCTTTTGTAACTCAATGGAATGCATACATACAGTTTTTTTAAACAAACGGGCTTTGAAGTTTTCAGCACGAAACATCCATGCTAGTTTTTATGAATACGGAACTTTTTGCATTTGTTCCGCGAACTTGTAACAGGATTTATTAGTTAGTACGCGATGAGTCTAAGACTATTTGGAGGTTTTTCTTTTTAATGCTTTTAACATATATGGAATGTGATTTGGGTCTCACGTCAGTTGGGAGTTGTAAGACAAAAATTAAAGCATATTAGTATAGAACTCACCGATCGCGCTTGGGGTGCAATAACCTGATCGATGGATGCAGACAATTTCATGCTTGCTTGGTTGAAATGCAGCCATAAATAAAACGAGCCAAAATAAGAAATTAACCCGCCGACTAGGGCATGTGGCATCCTGAAAATAAGGCTGAGTTCAAACCAAGTTCATCTCCCCTAGTGGAAACGGAAAAGGATTATCCAAAATAACTTCGAGTAAAAGTTAAAACAAATATGAGGGATAACAGTTATTTTTGGAGATTTTACAGCAAACCATCACTTGAAAGTACATCAAAACATACTTCTTAGGCCCTCCATTACACATTGTATATTATGAGCAAAAGGAAACATTCAAATCAAACATCACACTGGAACAAACAAGTATTTTACTTTTGACAACAACATTGATCATTGTGAGCATCAAAAGCATAAAGGAAATATTGGGCAAAAGCTGGAAATGCATATGGAAATTGCTCGTGAACATCATGATGAGGCCACCCCAAATTACTTCAAATAGGGTATATAAGTTGTCAGCTTTTCCAAAGATGAAGTGGCATTTGTCATATCATTTTCACCACCATCAAGCCATTGTCGTATGAATTGCTTTTCAATTTCAACGATCAATTCTTGTAAATTGTGAAGCTCTGAAATTCCAGAGTAATCACCGCTTTCATCATATGATATTCTCAAGCACCATAATCTTTCCAAACATGGCATAGAATGATTCTAGCGCCTCGAATGTCAAATACCTCGAGATTTAAGTGGCTGGATCTGAGATGACTCGATTTGCAAGTCTGAACAATCATTTAGATGGAATGCCTTGAGCTTATTTAATCCTGACAAAGATGGCAATCTCCTTAATTTAGTACCATATGAGTTTAACACAAGAAGATTGCCCGTGCTATCAAAATATTCCTGTGGGATTTGATCCAAGTTTAGATTCTTTTGAAGTTGTAGGAAAATGAGCCAGTCTACCCTAAGTCGATTGGACCCAAACCCATTAATCTTGGGGTTCTGGTGTAAATAACATAACATGTGGGTTTTCAATTGTAATTTTGCCTTTTCGTTTAAAATGAAAAAGGGAGGGAACGGTTATGCAACGTGGGTATATGGCTAGTTCTCAACTTTCATCATGACTTAAGGTCTACACAGAATCCATGTCTCAGTGCATAGATTTTTATATTCTTCTTAAAGCAGACATGCGTGTTATGATTTTAAAACTTAACCCAATAATACATATCCATATCAATGAGTTTAATAGAAGCTTTTGATGTATAGACTTCAATATTCTTCTTAAGGTTCTAGCACATCAGAATTATGAAGTCCAAGGTTTCTTTGATGTACCCAAAGCGAGGGAGGCTGTCCAATGAATTGATTGATTATGTTCGAATCATCACTTTTCTCTTTTGGGATGACAATTTTTTTTTGCTTTCATCCTCTTATTCATTATGCATGAAATATTTTATCTCTGGAGTTTCTATGGAGGGTAGCGATGAGCAAATGGATTCTAACGATATCAAAGCACATGCAGTCACCAAAATGAAGCCACCTACAAGACAAGCTCTGGATCCATTTGCCATACTGGAGGAAATAGAAGCAGCGGAAACATTTGATTTTCCCAAAGGAGAAATGGTGGAGCCATTTGCGGAAGCAGAGCCATTCGGTCTTCCCAAACCAAAGCCGCCAAATCCTTTCAAGATAGAAACAGATCCACATTACTATTCCAAAGCCAAACCACTTAAGCAGTTTGGTATTCCACTGAGTAGATCGACATCTAGATTGCTGCTAAAAGTGAGCCGGATAAGAGATTTTATCATGCTACTGTTGAATTATCCCGTGGGAATAGCCCACGATAGCAAACTCAAGGCTCGGATTCCAGAAGCTTCAAGTAGGAGACATTCTCTGGATGATTTGAATCGCCTTCTCAATCAGAAGCCTCTTGAATGCTTCCAAGGCCTTTTACCAATATACATATTGAAGAGCGTGGAAAGTGTTTGGAGTCCCAACTATGCTTATTCCAACGACACATCAGAAGACATTCTCAATTTATCTGCCAATCTTGCCGTGGATCAATTGGTTCAAACTTTATTGTCTGAGGATGATCATGTACGAAACATTCACCATGTCCTGTTCTCTACAAGGGATGCAGATGAAAAAAGACTAGTTAAGGAAAAAATAGAATCAGTCTTGAAAGACAAGGAAATTGTACTTCGCCTTCATGAAACATTCTCCAGAATCGTACTCATCGACGCCTCAGATTACCAAGGTCCTGCTGCCGAGATCGATGGTCAACAGCAGATAGCTCAACAATTTCACCTTCCACTAATAGAAGACAATGACGATTTGCTTAAAACAAGTATTGAGAAAGAGCTGTCAAGAAAAAGAATAGTTGGTGCTTTTGGTTGATGGAGAAGCCAAAAAGCCTCTTGATCCTAGGAAAGTGGGTTTTCCTGAAGAACTTGCTGGAGTTGTGATGTGCATTACCACTGAATCTTCGAAGCAGGCTAATAGTGACTTAACAGTGGCAATGGATCTGAATATCAACACAACGGATCACTTATTGCCATGGGAAGTTTTCTGTGCAAACATCAGAATTCCGATTTTACCATCATCTAATGCGCAGAGAATGGCTGTGCGTATAGTTAAAGAATGCAGTGCTCATCTTCTTGCCGGTGTCATTGTGGCAAGATCACTAAGGAATGCAAAATATGTTTCACAATGGGAACATGCTCTGGTCAAATTGAGTTCGCTTCATCCTTCCTATGACATTGGCATATTTCGAGGCCAGAGCAGCGTGTTACATAAAGCATTCATAAACTTCATCTGGCATGATTTATGTAAGACGCAGAAATATTGTCTTACATCATGTTTATTCATTTCTAAATTTGGGAAGCCAGAAAATAAGTTGATAAATTATTGGATTTCTTCTCGATTAGTGGGTGCTGAAGAAGGAAAGCATAATCTAATAGAGCTTGTGGAGCATTTTGCCTTATTTCAATCAGAGGACACAAAGCCAAGGCACATTCAAATTCCACAAGACATATATGATATCTTACAATTACTAGACACTCAGAATCCTTTGTTCATGAAAAAATCTGAGTTAGGGTTGGTTGAACCACCAAAAAGTGAGCCATGGCATAGTGCTATATATATTGACTTGGCGGACAATAAGTTGTCTGAGTTACCTTTTTCCCCGACTTGCCATGAACTCAAAGTGTTAAAGTTACACAACAATGCTGATTTGACAAAAATCCCCCCTCATTTCTTCTTTAAAATGCCTCTGCTTTGCATCTTGGATTTGTCCTACACTAGCATTAGAGAATTACCGAAATCCTTTTTTGAGTTGGAGCAACTTAGGGAACTCCATATGAAATCTTGCGAATGCTTCATGAAACTATCCTCAGAGGTTGGGAAATTGAAGAATCTAGAGAAGATTGATCTTGACAAGACTCAGATTATATATTTGCCAAAAGAGATCCAGGAATTGACCAGTCTCCAAAGTTTGACTCTTTGTTTGTATGAGTATCGTGGCAAGAAAAGTAAAGAATATATGAGCTCAACAATTATTCCTTCTGGGGTGATTTCAAAGCTTAGAGGCCTAAAACATTTAAGCATTGATGTAAACCCCGATGATGAAAGATGGGAAGAGAATTTACAAGTCATTCTACCAGAACTCTTGGTATTAGAATGCTTGCAAACTATTAGTTTGTACATTCCAGCATTGGAGCTTTTAAATCTCATACCTGCACGCTTTTTTGAGCTTGATTTTAGATTCATAGTTGGGAGACATATGTCACGGATCATTTCAGGCACACTACCCACAGCTGAAGAAAACTTTAAACAAAGCAAGTGCAGCATAAAGTTTGTGAAAGTTGTTGATGTCCCTTATGAAATAACAAGTGCTGTTAGACATAGCAAAGCTTTATTTTTAGATCGACACATGACCATCAAGGATCTCTCAAAATTTTGCATGACGAGTATAGAGCAATTACAAGTGTGTATATTGGCTGAATGTAAGGAGATGCAAACAATTGTTGATGGAAGATGCTCGAGCAGTAAGGATATATTTCCCTATTTGCTGGTGCTGAGTGTATCTTACATGAAGAATCTAAGAAGCATTTGCGAAGGAGAAGTTCATTCCGGTCACAGTTTTGGTATGTTGAAGACCTTAGCATTGCACAATTGCCCCAAGTTAACAACCATTTTCACATTGGATTTTTTGAGCAACCTATCACTCTTGAAGGTGCTTGTAGTTAAAGATTGTCCAAAAATAAGTGCTTTAATATCTTATGGAACATCCAAACTTAGAGCAGGTACTTTCCTCCCAAAATTAAGAACAATAGCACTTCTCCATCTTCCTGAATTGATCAGCATTTCCAACAGATTACACATGGGTCCAAGTTTAGAAAACATAGGAATTTATAATTGCCCAAAACTTCAGAGTCTTTCAAAAATGGAAATGTCCAGTCAGAATTTGAAAGTCATCAAAGGAGAAGCCAAGTGGTGGGGAGCATTGACGTGGAGTGAAGCAGAATGGGGAATAGTTGGCCGGCCATCTATTTTGGATTGCATCTTTTCTCCAATTAATAAACAGGATGACATTATTAGTAAACTGGAGTTGGATGATGATATTGATGACTGTCCAGGTAAATCTAACTGATATCTGATTTTAATTTAATTTAATTTTTTTAATTCCTAGTGTGTTGTCATAACCTCATTTACTTCCTTAAATATGGTGAATTATCAACGATTCATATGACAATTGTTTTAATCCACTATCTTCGTGAAATACTATTGCGATAGGGGGGATAGTGTGTGAGCCACTGAAATCTTCCAGTGGCAAGGCCTTCAAAGATATGAGGTCTATCATAACAGATGAGATAGTGGTTGAGCCTCCACAGTCTTCCATAAGCGCGGTCTCCAAGTATAAGGGGTATGTCTATGCATAACTATGTGTCATTTGCCTTATCTCTTTAGGCTCACAAAAAGTTGTATTTTCTAAAACGATTCTTAAATTATCGAAGGAACAAGGAAGCAAGATTTACAGTAAGATCTCAGTGTCTTGAGGATGGGTTTATTTGGAGACGATATGGCGAGAAAGAAATTTTTAATTCCAAATTTCGAAGGTACTACTGTTTTCAATTATCCGTGAATCATAACTTACTTCACATCTATATATGACTCTTTCTAAAGGTAAACTATTTACATGCCTCTTTTTGGTTTATGCTACCTGTGGTCTATGCGCAGGGGATATTATAGATGCACTCATAGAAATGTTCAGGGTTGCCTAGCTACCAAACAAGTGCAGAGAGATGACAATATTCCTGACCCTTACAATATCACCTATCGTGGTGATCACACTTGCACACAAACCTATAGTGGAACAGAATCATCCATGAACAATCATGTGAACTTAAGGTCTCAATCTGGGGTAGATGATGATGATGATATTAACTATCATCCAGGTAATTTTATTTCTATTTGTAATTAACATATCTATTTATTTCGCCGTGAATGTCACAACCTCTTTTTCCTTTCTTTCACTAAGTGAAATTTATATCTATTGCATAACCATTTGTAGCATAACGATTTACCTTGATTCCTTGGCATCGTTAAAATCTACAGTGTTACCGCATTTGGGTTTGAGCGTATTCGCGAATGGAAAGGACATTGCTAAGCGAACCGGCAGGTATATATGATGACTCTATTTCGCGTATCTTTGTTTATTTATAAGCTCATACTTAAAAAAAAAAAAAGGGAAAATTATGTGTATTTGTAAGGTTAACTGTATTTCAACTGCATCTGAAATCACTTACAGGGGAAGCGGCACTTGCTCACAAGCCTCCTGTGCGACAAATTCTACTCTATCTGACGGTATATATCAGAGGGACGAGTCAACATCCGATACAGAACTTGAGTCATTTTCTTCTACGGGACTCGGGATTGAAACTTCAGTGAGTGCTGATCCAGGAATTTACAGTTCCGCGTTTGACAAATTTGGCGACTTCGATTTTGACCCCGTCAGCTGGTGAGCAGATTGTTCTGACATTCCCTAAGGATCTGTTTGAAAAGATATACCCATATTGTCTTCTATATATATTTTAAAATTCCCATTAGGTCATGCTTGTTATGGTACTTTTTGGAAAAATCAATCTTTTGTAAACGCCAACAATTCATCATATTGAGTCAGTCCCATTGCTATGATTCGATGTTAAAAACTGCTGCAAGTCAGCAACTTATAACTGAAGATGTCTTGGTTCTTCCATTCTCATTGAAATCACCATCTCATTTGATTAGCTTTTTAACTGCCAAAAAGCCGGAGGAAGATAGAAATATCCATGGCAGATCAGGGCAGGGTCCATGGTAGCGACCTCAATAATTGAAGGTTCATTTTAGGAATTAGGGACATGTCACACTTCAATTTGTGCACAAGGATTAGGCTGCTTGTTCAGTAACCTCTCCTGTACAAATTGAACTTGTGTTGCCCATTGTGAGGCTTTCTTGTTTTGGGGGTTTTATCATCGTAAAGGTTCCTAGATCCACTACTGTCATAAACAACACAATATTAATACTATGCATTCCTCCATTTCGATACTTTTTTTTTTTTTCCTTTTTTTGCCAACTCGATACTTTCTGTTACTAGTATATTGAAAGTTTTAACAGTATGTCAATATTGGTTCTGGTTTCCATTTGGTTAATGCAAGCTCGAATAATTTCAAGACAGGTTCAATTTATCCAAAACAAAAGTTAAATCTATTATAAATATGTAAATATATTATGCATCAAATATATTTTTTAAAATAAAATTCTCATTACTGCACATAATTTAAAAAATAAGCCGCATTATATGTTTATGGTTCATAACAATAAAATTTGTTAAATTCTTTTATAATTTGCATAAGGTTTGCATCAAAAAATACTGTCTCAACATATTTTGACTTAAAAGCAAGAGGATTATCAGTGGTTATTACCACCTTACTATGTTTATTGCCATTTGAAATATCCAGCTTTTCCCAAATCCCATCAGGTGTGCACCTTATGCCATCTAAAATCAGCAAATATCTTGTGTTCTCCAGCACTTGCTGTATTCTTCCAGAAACTTCAGATTCATCACCTTCTCTATCCACCTTTATTCCTTCCGCAATTTTCTGCACAATGCGAAGGTCTTCAGTCTGTGGATCAGTCTGCTTGTCATCAGTCGTTACCTTGATGAAAATCACCATATCAAAGAACTTGCCAATGCTATCATAGGAGTCATTATTTAAGTGTCGCATTATTGTTTTTTTTCCCACCCCTTTTTGTCCATGAAGTGCCACGCATTTTAGTCTATCATTTGTAGCAGCGTCAGAATCTTTTGAAAGGCATTCTCAAGAGGCAGATACCCCCGAATTGGCGGAACACCTTTCTCCTCTATGGCAAGCTCTCGTGGCTTATCAATTAGAATCTCCTGTGTGTACATTCTCCAAGAATGCTCACAACTTCATTGACTGCCTTTTTCGTCTCATCTAGAGGATCACTTTTCCTACTAATATTCCATTTCTTTCCCCTTACTACTTCATATTCTTTATTCAAGGAAGCCACCTGGTTTTCAATATTTGATACACGCTTCTTCCAACTGTTGTAAACCCCAAGCGGAGCTTTTTGTATAATATTGTCCGAAACTTCGTTGTCTTTAACCTTTCCCAGAGCAACTAGCCCTTCTAGTCCAAAATTTAGCACTTTATGTGTGTCATCAAGCGAAATTGAGCCTTGTTTAGCTTTGGGGAAGAGAAATGCCACAACAGGTGTCGCAAGAGTTGCAGCCGCAGGGACAATTATCCCAGCTATCTCTATCCCAGACATTGAAAAACCTTAAGGCCTGCGGGGAAACTATTCAAGAAATGTTACCAGAGAATATTATTAATGCAACAAGGTGGATATAATCTTTATTTCCTTTTTTTATTTTAAAAAAAATCTTAACTTGTAGGTGTTATTGTTTTCTTAAAAGTGATTTAGCAGACAACAATCACACTCTTCGGTCCCCCCCGGGGTTGGAGCAAGTTACCTGCTTGAATAATTCACACTTTGCTAGTGCAGATAATATCAGCAAAAAATACAATTCTTAATCAAATCTTAGCATATGATTTTTATTGTTAACAAAAATTAATACGGATAGAATTTTAAAATTTGAGCAAACTATCATTAACGGCAAGAAACTAAACAAAAAGTAGATACTAGATCTTCAACAACACTTAATGCAGTCTTTGAATTTTTGAAACAAAAATAGTCAATAGCAAAAATAAATTAATCAATAGCTAAATAAGAGTAGTTATCAAATTTTTAAAAATGAAGATAGTCAACCGCAGTACTAGAGTAGTCAGTACCTAAACAAAAATAGTCATCACCCTTCTTTAAAACAAATATAATCAATGAGTAAAAAAAAAGTAGTCAATACATAAGAAAGAGTAGTCACTGGAGCTCTGGTGGTTGGCCACTAAAAGGGTCACTCCTGCTGAAGCTCTGGCAAGCAGAAACCGGCTAAGAAGATTGAGAAATCCATCAATGCCCATAACATCATGATTCAAAGATTGAGAAAGGAGAACCACCCCATCTTTAAGTTTATAAGAACCTGATGCATTACCACCCTAATACAAGGAGAGTGGGATCTGAAGGAGAGCATTATCATTAACACTTTGTACTAGTTAGGATATTACCCTTAGTTATTGCACCAGTCAAATGAGTAAATGGAATATTGACCCCATGAGGTTTTCTAACACAAACAACACCTTCGGTTTCAAAATAAAAATTAGGACAGATTATTGTGTTGTTCTATATAAGCAATCCAATTATTAAAAGACCATACAACAAGTAAGCGAACTTGCTATTGTATGCCACGCATTTATGACTCTTTAATTTTTGAATTACTTGCGTATGACTATACATGTTATTGTCTTTTTTTTGGTTAAGAAAAATATGTTGGGTTGGCTTGCAATAAAATGTACGCCCCTCTTGTTTGTGGTGGGAAATTATTGTTTTGTTTCCTTTAGACTGTGGATAAAAAATGTTTGGTGGTGGAGTGTGGAAATATTGTGAAGCCTAAGTTATATCATGACGCACTATAAGTTTTTATAAAATTTATCTTATTTGATGCTACTATCATATGAGACAGTACTTATATTAAGGTCTTTATAATCATTCTATCAAATTCTTCAATCACATAATACCATGTGTCCTATTTTTAAAATATTAGTATCTAATAACATTTAATTATAAATTCACATAGAAACAAAAAATGACACATGACTATAAAGAACCGGACATAATAAATACAAACAACTTTACCTAAGTTTTTTTAAATATTATATTACATTAGAACCACATGCCTACATCATAGTTTTGATATTTGAATTAAACATTTTAAAATGATTATATAAATCAGAAAATAGTTTTATTGAAAAACAGC